TGATTGTGTGTGTGTGTGTGTGTGTGTGTGTGTGTGTGTGTGTGTGTGTGTGTGTCAGGGCGTTTCTGCTCTATTGACCCAACTTGGCCTGAACATCTCTCAAGTGATCTTCCTATCCTTTCATCCTCCAGCCTGACCCAGTGCAATCCATTCCTCTTGGTCAGAATGTAGTCCAGTGGCTGTAGAGATTTAGCTTGCTGGATCTTCTGAGCTTTTAAAGGGAAGATGTAGATTCATTTTGTTCCCTATTTATTTATTTATTTATTTATTTTGGTTTTTCGAGACAGGGTTTCTCTGTGTAGCTTTGGAGCCTATTCTGGCACTCGCTCTGGAGACCAGGCTGGCCTCAAACTCACAGAGATCCGTGTTCACTTTTTTCTGACACCCCCCCATTAAAAAAAAAAAAGTTAACGACTTGCTCAGTGTTCTGTGATCGTTGAAAACTTACTGTAGCAGAAGGCATGGTGGGTGTATAGCACCTAACATGCCAGTGGGGCAGGGAGACTTGTGCAAGATGGACGCATGACTGAGGTAAAGCCCTTGCAGTTACCTTTTTGAGTTTTTTTTACGTTTGTTTTTTTTAAGCAGGGAATTCAACAGCAGTCCATTTGCCTCATCCTCCCTTGGGTTGGGATCACAGGTTTGAGACACTTGGACCAGATTTAAACAGTTTCTAAAAGAGGGCCCAGGTTTTCACTTTGCTCTGGACTCTGCAACTTCTATAAATTCCAAAATTCCATTTTTAGGCCGGGCAGTGGTGGCACACACCTTTAATCCTAGCACTTGGGAGGTAGAGGCAGGAGGATCTCTGTGAGTTCGAGGCCAGCCTGGTCTCCAGAGCGAGTTCCAGGACAGCCAGGTTTCTACACAAAGAAACCCTGTCTTGGGAAAAAAAAAAACAAAAAACTGAAACTAAAACAAACAAAAAAAATTTCCATTTTCAATGGAGGGAAAGGATAATTCACTTAGAGGGAGAGCAGAAAATGCTTCAAAGAAGGGGGTCAGTTGACCCAGGGAAGGGAAGAGCTGTGTAAACACAAGGAGGTAGGCAGTCTGGGAGGCTGATCTCACAGCAGGGCCGAGTCTGTGCGTCCATGTGGTTGTATAAGGTGTGAATGTGTGTGTGTGTGCTTGGGGGGGTCCTCAATGTACCAAACTGTGTGGCCTCTGAGTATGTAGAGCCCGCAATGCAAGCAAGGGCATTTGATGAAGGATGGTTTGAGTGTGAGACTGTATGCTGGTGTGAGTGGTGTATGTAATTTTGTGATATGTAGTGTCTACGGTATGTGTGATTATGGCGGGTAGGGGCGTGTTGTCTCTGGCATGAGTGGTGTGTGCTCCTGTGCACGAGGGACTCCCAGGGCAGGGACAATCTCAGAGCAGTTTGAGGGTTACTTATGAAGCACCTCTCTGTGCTAGGTGCTGACATTTTCCCCTCCTTTGAGGAGCTGCCACTGGGTATGGGACAGAAGTGAACAAACGGACAGATGGGAAACACTAAAAAAAGTTCCTTACGAAAGTTCCTACCTTGGGAGAATTGAGATGCACAATGTGTTGGCTAAAGCCAAAAGGCCCAGCATAGCAGTCAATAAGTGAATCCTTTTCCAGTGATGAAGATGCAGTGAGGTAGCCACACTTTCATTAAGTTAATGTAAAAACAAAAGAAAACAAAAAACAAGAACCTCCCCCTTCTTCACCGCTCGCCCAGAGTAACTGCAAAACTAGTATGGGAGGGTGTGGCTGTGGAATTCTGGGGACCATTCAGAGAAGGCATGGCAGCCAGCCCAGCACCCCGTGGGCCCATTGGGCACACCCAAGTCCTGGAGGGTTGACCTCTCTCTGACCCATCCAGTAACACAGATGATCCCACAGAAGTTGATAAGAGGTGACCAGCTCAGGGCAGTATATAAATAGCTCCACCCAAGACACACCTAGAGGACCCAGGGCAGGTGGCAGGGGACAGAATGGACACTGGGCTGGTGAGACTTTTGATAAGTGTTCTGGATTCCACAGGGAGCTGAGAAATGCCAGCCTAGGGGTCTGGAGAACACCGCAAGTCCTGTTGGGTGGAGGGAAAAAAGAAGTATTGAGAAAGATTTGGGTAAGCGATGCTTCCCAGAGGCTGGGCGTGGTAGCTTTTAGAGGCTGAAGCAAGAAGATGAAAAAGTTTGAGGCCAGCCTGAGCTTCATACTGAACTCTGGGTTGTTAGTCTGTTGGTCCACAAAATGAGATCCTATCTCATAAAAGAAAAAAATAATAAAATAAAAAAGAACAAACCCCCCAAAGAATCCCACCATATGGGAGGCTGAGGCAGGAGGATCAATGTTGGTTTAAGGTATGCCGGGGTTACAACATGATGACAGAGTAAAACTCTATCATAAAAGGCTGTCCCTGAGGACTGCCGTAGGCCTAGGCAGGAATGCTGGGTTTCTGGTCCCTACTCTCACCTGATCAGTGACCTTGGGCCAGCTTTTGCTCCCATCAGTGAAATGAAACACCTGGCCTTTTTGGAGGGCTATGGGATAGACCCCTTATTAGTGGGATGAAGGAAGCACCTATCAACTGAGGAGGGTAGGACAAAGGTCTCTCGGCCTCAAGCAACTAGCTGCCTCAGCAGATTCAGAGGCTTGACAGGCTTCTCAGCCCTCTTGCCCCACCTAACAGGTGAGACTCCTCTCAGAGCTCTCCTCTTCAGGAGCTGAGGAAACTGATGATTTAGGGAAGCATAGCAAGGATGGCCTTCCCCCAATCCCCTGCTTTTGACTAGCAGACCTTCCTCAACAAGAGATTGTCTCTTTAAGGAAGAAAGGATCCCAGAGACAGCTAATAGATACTAGCAGTGTGTGGCACATACAAATGAGGTCATTGTTTGGCCAAGTGGAGCCCAAACTTCCCCAGCTAGGTGGCCATAACAGCCTGAAGCCTAGCCTGCCTAAACCTCCGCTCTTGCCAAGATGTAAGGACTTGTTCCAAAATGGCTTCAGAAGAGTCTAGGTTCTCTCACTACTTGGCTAGTCTCTTCAACCAACCTCCTTATTCTTTTCAGGACTCATTGCTTCTCTAGAGCAAGCCCCATTTCCAGATATAACACAAGCAGACTCTTTGCAAGAGTTCTTCTTTATCTGCACTCCTCAGGGAATAGAATAATCTGGTATTTCCAAGGCAACTAGGTGTTAATTAGTTTACTTACATAATGGCTTGGTGCTTTTTGTGTGTGTGTGTGTGAGAGAGAGAGAGAGAGAGAGAGAGAGAGAGAGAGAGAGAGAGAGAGAGAGAGATGGGGTGGGGTAGGACACAGGAGTACTAAGATATAGTCTCTCTGCATAACTCTGGCTGGCCTGGAACATTGGTCACCAGGCTGACTTTAAAACTCATAGGGGCAGAACAGTCATGGTCTCGCCTTTAATCCCAGCACTTGGGAAGCAGAGGCAGGTGGATCGATGAGTCTGAGGCCAGCCTGTTTTACAAAGTGCTAGGACAGCCAGGACTGTTGCACAGAGAAACCCTGTCTCAAAAAACCAAAACAAACATCTCACAGAGATCATCCTACTTCTGTTCCCCAAGTGCTGGCCTTACAAGCAAGTGAACTACCATGCCCACCCTACAGCACTTCACTGTGAGTGTGAGTGTGTGTGAGTGTGTGTGTGTGTGTGTGTGTGTGTGTAGGTATTCTAGCAGAAGACGTGGACAGACAGACAAAAGCATGGCCAGGGTTCTGAGCACAGTTCAGATCCCAGCACCAGAGACAAGCAGCATGGCAGAGGCTCTGAAGAAATTAGGGTCTCAACTTTTGAGACAGGATTTCTCTGTAGTCCTGTTGTCCTGGCTGTTTTGGAACTCCTTCTGTAGACTAGGCTGGCCTCAAACTCACAGAGATCCACCCCCCTCTGCGTCCTCAGTGCTGGCCTGTGCCACTTTTTAAACATATAATCTTTCCTTAACATTTCAACTTTGAAATATTTTCTTTATTGAAAATATCCAATGAAACATTTCCTGTACTAAAATGTTAAAGAAAAAAAAATTACGTAACTTAGAAAGATTCAGGTGGTGTAGTGCTTGCCTTTCATCCTAGGACTCAGGGGTGGAGGGTGGGGGCAGATGTAGACAGACCTCTCAGCTTGAGGCCAGTCTGGTCTGTGCTATGAAATCCTGTCTCCTTGTCTCCAAATATGACCAAAACAACCAAAAACCAAGTTAGAGACCTCCCAAGTCCAAGCTAAAGGGCGGAGCCTAGCAACACCTATGGAGTCTCACTTTCTGGTCTCTTCCAGGATAACCTTTCCAGGAGACTAAACGGGGGAGGGGGGCGTTTAGCCTGAGCCTGGCTAAAGACTTGGCTGTCAACAGTGATCAGCTCCCATCTTTCTCATCAAGCACTAGTCTCCATTTTGTTTTACTTTTCCACTTTGCAAGATCGTATCTATGATTTCATGTCAGTCACAAAAGCTCGGATTCAGATTACAGATCTTTAGCATGAAGCCAAATTGGCTAGAATGCAAAGGCATCTGTTCACAAGGCTGGACTTGCAATTCTAGACTTCTGGGAGGACATCAGATCTAAACTCTTGTTGTACAAGAGGAAGCAGCCCTGAAGAAGACAGATTTGGCCAAGGTCACTGAGCATGTGGTTGGTGGCAACAGGATAGCCCTCATCTGCTTTCTTTTTTTTTTTTTCTTCAAGACAGGGTTTCTCTGTGTAATAGCCCTAGCTGTCCTGGAGCTAGCTCCGGCTGACTTCGAACTCCCAAAAATCGACCTGCCTCTCCCTCCGGAGTGCCAAGTCCAGTTTCTAAACCCCTGTTTCCTCTTGTGGGAAGCCTGTAGTGCTTTCGCAGCCTCACCCTTTCTCTTTGCTCTCTTCTCAGCCTCCAACCAGCCCTCTGTCTAGAGAAGTCCACAGCCAGCCCTCACATACATCTTCCCGCACGTTTATCTCTTCTCCAGGCCTTATCCAGTCTATAGCCCCAAATTTCAATACACAGCTCAGACCAAGATTAGAAAAAGCCTAGACGGCACTTTATTGGAGGCCTAAGCCTCCAGGAACCCCATCTTGAGGGTTCTGGCATCACCCCACTTCTTGCTGGTCCGGTTAGGAGCCCCAGAACAATCAATCTGGCCACCAGCACTCAGTGGGAGAAGAGCAGGGAGGGGGATGCTTTAGAAAAAAAAAATAGCTCTCTATGTACACGTGGAGTATTTATAGCACATAAATTAGGGACGCTCTGACCCCCGCATGTGGAGCCTGAGTACTGGGCCGAGAGGTGGAGGAAGTGTTGAAGAAGGCAACCCTGCCCCTTCTGTCCCTGTACTCTCCTCCCTCGGTCTCCCCAGCCTCCTTGGCTGAGCCCAGGCATCTGCAGGTGGGTCTCTTCGGCAGTCAGTGCTGGGGCTGGAAGGAGCTGGACTCACAGCTGTAGAGTCAGCGAACAAGTCGCTTCAAACCCTGGGGCTTGTAATTCCAAAAGGAGGGCAAGAGGCCACACAGGCTGTACTTCATGATACAACACAACCGATGGACGGGTTCCTCCTCTCTACAGCAACACAGGGAACACATCCACATTAAGGGGGCCTTCCGGCCTGCCTGTCCTTCCAAGAAGGCTTCATTCAGTTCAAGTTCGTGTCTGAGTCAGGTCCTGGGTCCTGTCCTAACCCTTAATTCCGACTCTCTATGATCTCTTCCTCCTTCCAGCCACTGGAGTTCTTGCCGAACTTGTAGACAAGCCTACGGCCGTCCACCCGTTCCAGGATCTCGCGTTTGTAGTAGTACCTGGGTGGGAAAAATGTGGTCAGAGGTGCAGGCAGGAGACATGCTATGTACTGAGGTTTCCCCTGGCTTCGCTGCCCTAAGCCTTTCTTGGTCCCACCTGCTATTGCCACATTGATCTGTAATTATGGCCCAGCACCTGTTTCTGCCTTAACTTCTCTGTGCCTTCTGCCTATGTCCTGGGGCTTTTCATGAAGGCACATGAACAGAGGGATGGAGGGGGCTTGATGATGCTCAACTAGCCCACTACCTGGCACACAGGGAAAGGGAGCTGAGCTGCAAATACACTGCACTGTCCCTCGAGTGTCTTTCTTAAAACGAATCTACACAGAACAGAAATGTTAGCTGGAGCTGTGTGCTCAGACGCCTGACAAATGCTTTCCTCATGCTTCAACCGGCCAATGAACCAACTAGGCCGACCCTGGCCTTGTCCCTCCCTGTGGGCCTCACACTTGTCACAAGGAACCTAGTAGAAGACAGCAGAGTCCAATTAGAGGTCTCTGACAGATCAGTGGGTTCCTGGTGTCCATCCTTATAGGATGGGGCGCCAGCCACCAGCTTACCTCATGGCCCGGCTCAGCTTTTCATAGGTCATGTTGCTGTTCTTTTTCTTTTGGCCCCATAGTTGGGCCACGGCCTCTGAGCGAAGGAACTTGAACACACCCTCATGCCGGTTCTCCCATTTCATGAGGCCTTCGTTGAGTTCAGGGTGGATGAGGATGTCTCGAATGAACTCCCACAGATGAGTACCTCTGGGGGCTATAAGGGGAGATCTCCTCAGTTGTCAGTCTGGGGTGCCTCACTCCTCCAGGCCATCTGGCCTTCCCTATCCCAACAATGCTAAGAGCCTAAGCTATGATGGCCCTTTTAGAAGCACTGGGGAACGTGTTCTTAGAGATCGCCATAGTGGCTGCTTCTTTCTTTGCCTCATAATGCAGCCCAGTGCTCTAGGCAGACAGCATGGAGCACACAATTCTCTGCGGTTCAAACATCTGGCTAAGGTGGACAGAGACAGAGAGGGGCTCATGGATCACTGGGAACCAACGTTGGTGAGAACTTGGCACACAGGGGGACAGAGAGCTGGCTATAGCCCAGAGGACCAAGGAACAGCTTCCTGGAAAAAAGAAGATCCCCTCGGGACAAGAACAAAAGCAGTGCTTTCGTGCAGGCCTGTATGTATGAAAGAGGCAGCAAGTAAGACCTTTGGGGTGACCTCCAGGTGGTTTATTTAGAGCAGCTGGAACACACAAAGCCTGAGGCCCCTTCAGCAGACTGTGCCTGGAGTCGTGGCCATTCCAGCCCACTGGATTCTGAGCCCACCTGAGCACCTACCAGCTGCCTCCTCGCTATCAGAAAGCTCCATCAGGCAAGACAGGGGCCAAGCACAAAAAGTTAGAGAGGGGGTTGTGTAGGAAGCCTGGACAGTCACCGTGAGCCTCCCCCTGGAAGCCTCAGTTTCCCCTCTTCTCTAAGTCCTCTCTGTAATGAGGTGATTGCTAATGTCATGGAGGCCCCCCCCCCAACTGTTCACAAAGGTAAGAAAATGACGAAGGAAACTACAGTGGCCATGAGAGGCCTGAAGAGGCCCACAGGCCCATCAGCCCCTAGAACTTACCATGCTTGCTCTTCTTGCCCTCTAGGCAGTCCCAGTACTCTTTGCTCAGCTTTCGGGGACGCCCACGTTTCCTCTTCCCGTGCTTAGGTTCCCCCTTCTTATAGTCAGGAAAGCCATCTATAAGAAGGGGTTGGAAGGTCAAAAGCAGGTGAGGGCAGTTGTCAACGGGGAGCCTTTCTATAGAAACCATGGTAGAGAGGAGGTCGGGAGTGGCTGGATGCTGTGGAACAGGACCCCCAAGATCAGCCCTCAACTCACCTCTAGGGAAGACCTTGCTATCAGTGAGATCCAGGTCCAAGTCACTTCCACCGGAGTCAGAGGAGTGAGAGCTCTGGGGAGTAGTGGTCCCTAGGAGTGGAGAAGTCAGCTTGAGTGCTGGGGCCAGCCTACTGCCTGCAGATTCAGGCACTCATTCTGGTAACCAGATGCACTCTGGGGCCTTTGGAGAAGGGAGACTGAGGCAAGGACAGGACTCTCACCTGCAGTAGAGACGTCAGAGCTACCAGGGGAGGGTGCTCCAGGGCCATAGCTACTGCTGTAGTAGGGGCTGGCCTGGCGGCCATCATCCAACAGCTCGGGGCCAAAAGGGCTTCCCTGATCTGGGGAAAAGAAACTGGAGCTTAGAGAGGCCCAGGAGACCAGCAAGGTCAGGAGAGACCACCCAGGGACCCGAGAACTGGCTATGTTGTATTTTTTCTACTTGGGAGGGTTGCAGATGGGACAAAACAGTCTGGGAAAAAGGAAATAAAATGGGCTCTCACCAAAGGCGCCCAAGTCTCCCAGGCCCTCCTGGAAGGCCATGCCATCCTTCTCCAGAAGTTCGATGATCCAGCTGAGTTCCTCAGAAGAGCTGGAGGCTGGCAGGGGCAGGGAGGGGTCACTCTCCACCTCTCGCAGGACAGAGGAGCTCCAAGTTCTTCCCAAGGCTTGTCCTCCCTGTTCAGTCTCCAGGCCCCGTGGCTCCCCTGGCCTAGACTTACTGAGGTCCCGAAGCTGGGCATAGAGTTGGTCCCCCAGAGACCCAAAGACCAGTCGTAGCTCCTCAAGGGCACAGCTGCAGAGGGTGGCGCCGTCCATATCACATCTCGAGAAGTCAATGGAACTGGCGTCATACTTGTTCTTCTCCACTTGGTAGCTGATCCAGTCCAAAACCTGGGTCTTGGACCAGAACTGGGGCTGCTGGCCTGACCAGCTTGCCTTCTCTGAAAGGTGGGGAACAGCCAGAGGGTCAACACAGGCCACAGATCTGATGTTCCTTTCGGATCTTGTCTGAGTCCTACCCCTCCCATGGGGCTGTGTTTGTGTGTGTGTGTGTGTGTGTGTGTGTGTGTGTGTGTGTTTGTGTGTGTGTGTAATATTCACAGTCACAATACCCCTGGGTTTCACTGCTTTCCTCAGTCTGTCACAGTCTCTACATTCCCCACCACCTCAGCCATTACAGGCTTCTCAGGGGCTCGGAGCACAGTCTAGCATGCATAAGGCCTTGCTTGGATCCTTTCTCCATCACTGCTCAAATAAATAGATGAATAAATTCTCCCCAGCCCCTAGCCTTGGGGTTCTTTTGGAAACCTTCCTCCCTACCCATTTATCCAACAGCCTCTCAGACAAGTGTCCTGTCTCTCAAGACACCCCATTATACAGCACTCACCTGGACCTTCCAGCGACATCTGGGGGTTGTTCATAGTCAACACCAAGTCATCGCAGGCGAAGGCAGTCGCTGGAGGAGCAGAGGCCAGGGTGGGGTCTTCTGAACTGTACATGGCGTTGAAGTAGTTACTAAAAACGTTGCTGATCTCACAGGTGGCAGCCATGAGGCCCCCTGGGAAGAGGAGACAAGATGGTGAGGTTGCAGGGCAAGGCGCACTTCCATTACTCTGTGCTGGCCAAGCCTGGGCAGCTACAGCCAAGAGGCAGGAAGGAGTTCAGCGTCGCTGTAGACATTCTCCCTTCAAAAAGACCCCGAAGAACCAGCTACTTGGGAAGCTGAGGTTGGATGATCTCTTGAGCCCAGAAGCACCAGGCCAGCCAGCGCCAAACTGGGAAATTCCGCTCCAAAAAAAATAATCTCAAGCAGGGTGGAACCATGAGATCAACTCTGCTGGGGCTCCCTCCACAAATCACCTGGGCCCTTGAACCAAAGAAGCCAGCCACCCTGTCCCTCCAAGACACTGATCTGGTCTCTGGCCAGTCCTGGAACACCCACACAGACCTAACACTCCGGCTAGGAAGCTCCAAGCTAGAGTATTTAAGTTCAGAATTGTAAATCCACTGGACGGTTCCCGGGGCCAGAGTTAGGGAATGTGACCCTACCGAGAGTCAGAGTTCGATGTGGCAGGCGGGTAAGAAGGCTTCTGAGGCCACAGGAAGGGAAGAAATCTAGGCGGCTGAAGGCTCCGCCAGGTAGCAGTGGAGAGTGTGACCAGAGCGCTCCCCCACCCGCACTAAATAGAGCAGTGCGCCAGCTCCTCCCCGCCAGGTCTTCGGTGTGCGTCCCCAGTTGTAACCTGAGCTGGTGGCTCATTGGATGAAGGGGATTTCCTTCAGACCGGGCTCCCGGTCCCAGGTGATTTGCATATTCCCTGCCACTTGGCCCAGATCCTAGCAGGCGGTGCTGGGAAATCAGGCCTGGCTAGTTTAATGATTGTCAGAGTCTGTCATTCCGCACCCTCTGGGGTTGGGCCCTGGGTACTGGACTGGGCAGGTGGCGGGAACTTCGCTGGGGTGGGCACCTGTGCCTTAGGCCTTCCTCTGGCCCGGGGAAATTCTCCCTGGGGGCCAGGTCAGGGCTGGACTAGGGAGGGGAAGCAAGGTGAGGAGTCTGAACCAGTCAGAACAGCTGCATCTAACTGTCTAGAGACCAGGGGACCAAAGGGCCTAGTAAAGGTTACAGAGCCTGAAGCATTTTCTCCACAACATCCAGAAACAGGGGTGCTGAAAGAGTCTAGCATTACACCGGGCCCCATTCACGGTCCAGGGGTAGTTTGGGTCTGCCAGTCTAGTCAGTCACAGAGCGTTTAGTGGCACTTTGCCTGTCTGATGCCCACCCAAGCACCATGGTTGCTGCAGATCGGGCACTACTTCAAAGGTCTAACATGGTGCTTGTGGCGGTTCTAGGGTCGGCTGGAGGTGCTGGAGTAAGGTTTAGCCTCTGTCTAGTGATTTACGCCTTTCTCTGACTCAGTCCATCAGTATCTGCCTGCTGCCCTCTAGTGGTCAAAAGCCAATACTTGCGTCACTACTGACAAAAAGGGACTGTGTATATTAATAACAACAACAAAAACAAAAAGAAAAAACGGGCGGCGGTGGAGCAAGCTTTTAATCCCAGCATTCGGGAAGCAGAGGCGGACGGCTTTCTGTGAATTTGAGGCCAGCCTGTTCACAGAGCAAATTCCAGGACAGCCAGGTCTATACAGAGAAACCCTGTCTTGAAAGCAAACAAACAAAAAACTGAGGTGCTGGAAGTTGAACCCAGAGCTTCCTAGGCAAGCACTCTACAAATGGGCAATATTCCCAGAACAGTTTGTTTTTTGAGACAGTGTCTCATTATGTATACGATGCTGGCCTCAAACTCCAGAGTTAGGCCCTGGGAATTAAAGGTGTAAGCAACCCTAACCAGCACCAGAACATTTTAAACATAACAATCTTCGTACAAAAACATTCAACAAGCAATGTGGGGCTGGAGGGATGACTCAGTGTTTAAGAGTGTCTACTGCTGAGCCTGGTGACCTGTGTCCCACACATGATAAAGGAAGAGAACCGACTCCTGCAATGTGGCTCTCTGACCTTCATGTGCACATGTACAAGTGCGCGCGCACACACACACACACACACACACACACACACACACACACACACTGTAATGCAGGGTCTCTACATAGTCCTGGATATCCTGGAACTCACTACATAGACCAGGCTAGCTTCCAACTCAGTAGAGATCCACCTGCCTCTGCCTCCTCCATCCTGAAATTAAAGGCTTGTGCCACAATGCCTAGCTATAAATATAATTTTTTTTTAATTTTAAAGTCAGCCAGAAAAAAAAAAAGCCAGATGGTGGTGCTTCTTAGCACTCAGGAGGCAGAGACAGACAGATCTCTGTGAGTTCTAGACCAACCTGGTCTACAGAGCGAGTTCCAAAGCTACACAGAGAAACCCTGTATCAAAAAACCAAACACAAAACCAAATACAAAACCAAAAAAAAAAAAATATTTAAAAGCAGTGTTGGACATGTGTGGTGGTGCATGCCTTTAATCCCAGGGGTAGGTTCAAGGCCAAGTTTGGTCTACATTTTCTTTTTTTCTTCTTCTTTTTTTTCTTTTTGGTTTTTCAAGACAGGGTTTCTCTGGGGATTTGGAGGCTGTCCTGGAACTAGCTCTTGTAGACCAGGCTGGTCTTGAACTTACAGAGATCCACCTGCCTCTGCCTCCCTAGTGCTAGGATTAAAAGCATGTGCCACCAATGTCCGGCTGAGACCTTTTCTTAAAAAAATTAAAATTAAAAAATTAAAAAAATATGTGTAGTTGTCTTCATTTGGGCCAGCAAATTAGGGAAATAATGATATTGCTGTTGCCTTTTCTCTACATACAGTGCCTCTTGCCAAAAACAGCCCACTCAATGAGTCCTGTGTAATCAATGGCTCTTAGTGGACTCAGCCCAAAAGACCAGCTTTAAAGATCCCTCTAGCAATCCCTGAGTGAAGCACAGGGGTGGGGGGGATGGGACGCCGGTATTGGCGATTCTTGCTTCAGCATCTGTACTCAAGGTGGTCAAAGACAGTGGTTTCCGAGCATCAGTAAGAGGCATCTGAAACAGAGGCATGTGCCTAGAATTCTAAGCTACTCAGGATGCTGAGGCAGGCATGCTGAGTTTGAGGGTAGCCTGGGCAACTTAGACTAAATACTGTCTCAAAAACAAAGAACTGCCAAGATGGCTCAAGAGATAAAAGCCCTTCAGCTCAAATGTGATGACCTAAGTTCTGTCTTCTAAAACCACCTAAAGACAGGAAAGAAATGATTCCGAAAAGTTATTCTGACCTCCACCTGCACAGGTGCATGAATGTGCCCCAATAACAAGAAATAATAATAATTTAATTTTTAAAGGGGTAGGGCTGGGGATGTGGCACAGCTAGAGTGCTTGCCTAGCATGTACAAAGCCCTGGGTCTAACCAATCTCCAGCATTGCATAAAGATATATGTGGTGGGGGCTGGAGAGATGGCTCAGTGGTTAAAAACACTAGCTGGTCTTCTGGATGTCCTGAGTTCAATTTCCAGCAACCATGTGATGGCTTACAACCATCTGTAACGAGATCTGGTGCCCTCTTCTCACCTACAGGGATATACATAGAGACAGAACATTGTGTATATAATAAATATATTTTTTTAGAGATATACTTGGTGGCCTCTGAAATTCCTGGGCTCAGGGTCAGCCTCAGCTACTTATGGAATTTGAGCTATCATAGGCTACAATAAACTCTGACTCGAAAACAAAACCAGAAACTAGCAAAGAATGAGGGTGTGGGACTCTCTAATCCCTCAAATTTCTTGCAGTTACAGCTATTTTTTTTGTTGCCCGGGGAACCAACCTTGGACACTATGAATTTAGCAAATTCTCCACATTAAACCATCATTTTTTTTCTGCATCTAAGATACAGGATCTGACTGGGCAGTGGTGGCACATGCCTTTGATCCCAGTGCTTGGGAAGCAGAGGCAGGAGTCCTGAGTTTGAGGCCACGCTGGTCTAGAGTGAGTTCCAGGATAGCTAGTGGTGCTACACACAGAGACCCTGTCTGGAAACACACACACACAGCCACACACACATAGCCACACAGACAGACACAGACAGACAGACAGACAGACAGACAGACACACACACACACACACACACACACACACACACTATTAGATTTTTGTCTTCTCTCTACTCCATTTACATTTATGGACATACAATTCCTGGGGGTCCTCAAACAAAAGGTTTCCTTTTGCTTCTAGGTATCCCATTGTCCGAGGACCACAACCCGCCACCACCCCATCCCCTACAGGACCCATTCTCCATCTTCAAAACTGCAGGCTCCTTTCCACTAGGTCAGGGCTGCTGGAGAGCCAGGGGCTCTGAGTAGGATTTTCACTGGCCCTCAGGGGACCTCACCCAAGCAGCCTGAGGCAGACACACCCTCTACCTAGTCACTCAGTCTGGAATGTGGGAGAACCAGCTCTTAGCCTCTGGTCTGCTCATGTGCTCTTTTCCCCCAAGAACACCTGGTTGGGTCTCCAAAGCAAAGTGAGGAAGATAGAATGAAGCCATCAGCTAGCACCCTTGCCTTCATGGAGCCTCTTCCCAAAGAAACAGCCATGACAATCTTATAGCTAACCCATTCTTCTGAGTATTAATTCCTTTACCAGTCAAATGGGGGAGAAAAGTAAGAAAGAATTGGATTTGAAGTTAGTGCTTTGAAAGGTCGGTTCCAAGACTATGGTGAGGGCAGCTATGGGGCAGGGAAGCAAGGGACCTTTGTCCTAGCCTGCCTATATGCTGGATATGGCAGGAGAGAGAGCCTGACGCCTTTCCCAGAGATCCTCAGTAGCATAGCTTCATCTTCAGGATGGGAGGGTAACAAGAGCATTTTCCTCCAGTCCTGTAAGAGCACAAGCAGACCCAACAGGACTCCAGCAGAGCCAAGATGGTGAGTGAGACAGGTCATACAACTCCTGATGTCCATGCTATGAAATAGAAATAGAAGCTGGACCCTTGTAGCCCGGTGGTTTAGTCCCAGCACTCGGGAGGCAGAGGCAGGCAGATCTCTGAGTACAAGCCCAGCCTGGTCTACAAGGGAGTTTCAGGTCAGTCAGGGCTATGCAGAGAAACCCTGTCTGGGAACACACACAAACAGACAAAATCAATCAAACAAAAAAGATATTATCAGGAGTCAAGACTGATAGGATAGGTCAGGGGAGGCAACGGGACGGTCTTAAATCGACAGTACTCCCTCACTCCATCTTCTGGGCCCTCAAATCCCTGTCCTGTAGCTCACAGTTGCCTCTGTTGGTGAGGCTGGAGAGCCATCCTGTTTACCACCGGCTTTGTCAAAGATGGAACCTCAGCTTTTTCTCCATCTTTGTGTAGGGAAGGCAAAGCCAACAGTGGAGCCACAGATGGAGACTGGTTCAAAGGTCCCTATGCTAGTAAAGACAAACTTATTTTAGCATTTGTTCAAATTCTCTTGTCATCCTAGTCTCAAACCTAAGGTGCTAGCTAACTGCTTCAATCTCCGTGTTGAAGCCAGGAAATCAGAATCTAGTGACAGGCTCTCGGCAGACCCTGCCAATCCAAACCATTGAAATAGTTACTGAGGAGCTGGGGTAGGAAAGGCCTAGCAAAGTCCAGGGATGTGGTGGAAGACAAAGGGAGCATGAGAACACCCTTGTCTTGTGCTCATGGGCAACCAAACACACATGGCACAGAGGGAAGCCCAGCAAAAGAAATTTAACAGTGACTTTGCCTCCTGCCTTAAATCCCAGCACTCAGTAGGCAGGAGGACTTCCACAAGTTTGAGCCTGGTCTATATAGTGAATTCCAGGCCAGAAAGGACTACATAGTGAATATCTCAAAACACACACACACATACACACACACACACACACAGAGAGAGAGAGAGAGAGAGGGAGAGAGAGAGAGAGCACTTCTTAAAAAAAAAAAACAACAGAAATAAAAATAAATGATTCAGTCTATAACTCCAACTTATCTACATCTTGCTTAAAAACTTTTATTTGAAAAGAAAAAGAAGGAAAATTTACCCTTTGCAGCCTGGGCCATGTTCCTTATAAGGAACATGGAAGGGCCTTCTAGTCTCAGGACTCTCTGGACCAGAAAGAAATTCCTCCACCAGGGCAGAGACTCAAGTGTCACAGACACGTAAGCCCAGAGAACAGATAGGTGATCCAAGAGAATAGAAACTTCGGGACACCGACTTGGAAAGGGATAATTTTTCAGAAAGCCTGTGAGGCCCAGGTGGCAGAGACCACCCACACGAGCCTCTAACTGCCCTTGGGCACCAGGATCTGCTGGACGTAGTTGACCACGTTGCTGTGGAGCTGGGAAGCAGTGGCTGAAAAGATGTCCTTGGCGAGGGTCTGGGCCATTTCG